ATCTGTCATTTTAATTCACTGGAATTAAATTGTCTCGATGCATAGGTATTATTGAAAGTATCTAAAAGCTCGCACCATATCGATTTATATGGCACATATCTATCCGAGGCAAAACCTGAGATGAATAGACAAACACACACCCACCATCTATGAACCACCACGAGCAATCGGGCGACGAAGATAAAAGTGGCCGGTGGCCTGGTTTCCGACGATTTCGTAACTTTTTTTTTCACTTGGTACCATTGGTACCATAAGTCTAGTCTAGCCGATGTGTGTACGACTTTCATGACTGATTTTTACTTTAGATAAACATTTACAGCTATGATGTCATCTCTTGTTTCATTACAGTATGTTAACTTTTACTGTCCCGATAGATATCTTGCAAAACTAAGATATTTCCGAGGATATTTCATATTATTAAAAGCAAATATCGAATCAATCTTTTACAATTAATAATAAAATGAGTTTCTTTAAATAGGAAAACGAATAAATTCTGTGAACACATGAACATCGCTGTCACTTTTATTTGTATGTAAATTATACAGTTCATACCAAATAAACTTTAGTCACGTGATTAAGCTTGACCGGCACAGCGTTAGCCTACTTTTATATATATTAATTATTAATTTCGTAATAAATTAATTATAGGTAACATATAAATAGTTGTTTCATTTCATCAACAAACTCCACCTTCTTAACAGCAATTAAGGGACATCATTATTCATTACTACCGCTTTCCCGTTCAAAATATTCTAATAAAGTTGTAATGAGTTTTTTCCGGCTATTAAGCCGTAAAAAACTATCTATCTTGTACACTTCTGCACTATAAGAGGTTCTAAAAAGAACAATGTTCGACTGCAAGGTCTGCTAGTAAACACTTTTAAGCTTAAATTATCACAACACTATTTTATTTAAACCAAAAACTCGTAATACAAAACTAAAATGTAAAAACGAATGACAATGTCAGGAAATAAATAAATAAATGCGGCAACTTGACATTTTTTACAGCAGAGCTACCACCTGAATCCCTAGCGCGAAATTTAAATTGCAGTTAAGGTTGTCGCCCACTAGACCGCTGCGCGGCGCGGCGCTGGAAAGAGAATTTTTTCCGGCTGCGAAGGGACTGCGCCCACTATAGCGCGCTTTTGAAACGCGGCAACGCTATTTAGTTATAGTCGAAGTGTTTTTACTTACTGTAGTTTAGTTTTTAAAGCAATGAGTTCAAGTACGGACGAAAGCGTATTTTTGTGCTCTTCTAACAAAGGAAGAGGAAGAGGGGTGAGGAAAAGTTTGAACTCATACGATTAACAAAAAGAAAGAAGTTTGGAGAATTTTACCATCTTTTTCCAGATTTAATAAAAGACAAAATCATTTTTTCAGTATTACAAAATATGAAGGAAACATTTTACGCACTCCTCAATTGAGTGTTTTAGAAGAAAAAACATTGTATATTCACTCATCATATTTTTTCAGAAGAGACAAATTACTATTTTTTGATAATTCTTATTTATTCTGATGTATATTAGTTTATGTGGTCAAAAACCCTGATCTTTTTTATATTTAGGTAATTAGAATTTAAAAATTGGAGATTGTCACTTTGTTAAAAAGTGGAGATTGCCAGTTTTGCCTCTACACCTCTCAATTATATTAAATCTTCGATAGAAAGGCATTTCGTCCATCTGTCTCTAGTGAGGGAAAACTAAAAATATCATATATTCCTTTTATGAAAATCGATTTGCCTAATTTACCTTTAAAAATACAATTCTGCTATTGATACATATCACTAGTTCCTAGTCAAAAGCCAACTGAAAAGACTCGAATGCAAAATTATCTGCTTTGTGAGTACGCACACTGCAACGCGACGAAACGCGGGAGACGGAAAAGTTGCTAGAGAAGTCTTCCGACTTCTTGACGGAAATTCCTTGGCGCGCTTCTGCGCTGCGCGCTCTAATGTGCGTTGGTCCATTTAAATACATGGCAAGCAGACAAAAGAAATTTCCACATGGCGCCGCGCCGCGTCGCGCCGCGGTCTAGTGGGCGACAACCTTTAGTCAGCACGGCGCCGAATATATCCATGATTGGCAACACTGAATTTAAAAATTACGCCCTCGAATACGTCACTAAAAGTTTAATTGATATCAAATATATAGGTATATGGATTGTCATTAATTACTTATTTTGTAATTATTCTTGAATAAATAAACGCTTACAGTATTGGCCAAAAGTGGATGAACCAATACCAATAATTGCGAAGAAAATCAGATTTGAGGTGTTAAATATCAAAATTATTTTATGTACCTTGTATGTTAAAAACTTTAATACATTCTCACCAAAACACTACAAACGAGTAAATTCTTCTGTTAGTCTTTTCATTTATAGATAAGAATTGGCAAATATTGCTTTTTGTCTTGGACAAAAGTAGATGAACCAAATATTTTAAAATCGTTAGTTTCATTTGTTCTGCTTTTATGAACAATTGCGATTTAAAACATTTGAGCTCTTGTGATATATCATTCCACGTGGAATTAACTTGTCTGCAGATCTTAAGTTGCGAGTAGTGAATGCTTTTAAGGATAGTTTGAAGCAATCGGAAATCGCTAAGCAAACCAACACCTTGGAAAATCAGCGGTACATTATATTTTTAAAGAGATATAATGAGGAGGAGATGTCTCTATAAAAAAAACCAGGACGACCTAAAAAGTTGGTCCCAATATGATAAAAGCTATAAAACGAATTTCTTCACAAGATCCATTTTTGCCGTCAACGAAGATAAAAGCAAAACTTGAAGAAATGGGCTATCCACCAGTGAGTACAAGAACGATCCGACGTAAATTAGTTGACCAGAAGTTGTTTTCCCGAAGACCCGCCAAGAAACCACTGCTATCAAAAAAAATTTGAAGGCCCGATTAGCATTTGCCAAAGAATATCAAAACTGGACTGGGCAATAATGGAAAAAGTTTATTTTAGTGATGAATCAAAGTTTAATTTGGTATCATCAGATGGAATTCAACATATAAGAAGACCTCCCAACACACGATTGCTACCAAAGTACACGCGACCCACTGTAAAACATGGTGGGGGCTCAATCATGGTATGGGGGTGTTTTTCTGGGTATGGGATGGGCCCTCTCCATAAAATTGAGGGCATGGTGGATCGGTTTGGCTACAGAGACATTTTACAAAACCTTTTAGTGCCTTATTTGGAGGAAATGCCAGTTGTACACTACTTCCAACATGATAACGACCCGAAACATGCCTCACAATTGGTTGAAAGGTTTTTGGAAGATGAAATGGTGACTGTTCTCAAATGGCCATCGCAATCCCCAAACCTGAATCCAATAGAAAATTTATGGGAAATTTTGGATCAACATATTAGGACCAAATTCTACAAAAATAAGCAAGAATTATTTGCAGCTTTGAAGAGTCTTGAAAAATATCGATTTTTCTATAATTGAAAATCTTCTGGGATCCATGCCTAAGTGATGTCTGAAAGTAATTAAGAATAAGGGTTACACTAAGTACTAGTAAATTATAAGTTAATTTTTCAGTTTTTTTGTTAACATAAGATTTTTTTTTATTAAATATATTTTGTTCATCTACTTTTGTCCAATAGTTTTTTCCAATTTAACGCAGCATCAAATTTAGTGATTTTCGTCCAACAGAGCCCTGAGATATTAAAAAACTTTTTATGGGCGCGAAATTCAGGGGCTGTAAGTCCGAAAAGGGGGGCCACTTGCCAAAAATAAAAATACGGGTCACCTAATTTTTTTCAAGAATCTATGACCAAATTTTGTTGCATTAATTTCCGACACCCTGTATTACCAATAATTCATTTTAGTATGGTTTATAATCAGAGTATTCAGTATGTAGGTAATAACACAAGTGATACCTCATCGACAACCTTGAACACCCGTTGTTCTTGTAAATATTTTCGATATACCTATTACAATTATTAGTTCTTAAAACCTGTTGGAAAATCACGAAACCGTTTAAAAACAATATACAAGTTCAAACGAAAAATCACAAACAATGTAAGAATTTCAAACAACCATTTAGATACATTTTAACAAAACAAATATGACGTTAATAAGAATTATTATTCTCATTTAAACAAAATTAAAAATGAAATTAAACAAAATTTAAAAAGAATCAAGGCAGAAAAACAGACATAAAATACTCTAAAGACTCGAATAGTTATCAAAAGATGGCTTCTAAGTTGCCAAATTATCATCAAGTTCCAGGTAGGTAAATAGAAATGACATTTTAAATACATCCAATAAACAACTGGTACCCGAGCTGGTGCCTAAAATTTCTAAATTGCCGAAGACCTCCCCAATTTTATTACCCCAATTTACACCAAATGAATAAAAAAATGTGGTTTCTGGGAATAACCGTGGCACTTTTAATCTAGGTATATTGTTAAATAGTGTTTCTTATCCGGGTTTTATATAGCCCCAATTTGGACTCTTTCTCACCTAATCATTAATAAAATTGGTACCTTATATCTAGGTACCTATACTCTGGAAAGAATAAATAAATGAGTAAACACCCTCAAGTTCTCAAGTACATAACAAAACTAGGAATATATTACCTTGTTCAAGAATCAAGATATATAATATCTACTTTTGTTCAGATTCAATAACCGCAGAATGAAATGGATATTATTTTCACTTGTTTTGCAACAGACAAATTTGATAAACAAACCAAGTATCTGCGCCATTTTGTTTACGGGGTTCCGTTATTAGAAAGTAGGTATATTAATATGAGATATTAAACAATAAAATGATAAAACTTGTCCAAAAGTACAAATTATTTAGGAGACATGAAAATCCAAAATGAGATCTTTTTAAGTAGCCGTCTAAAGAATGTGCCAAAATCAAATAACTCCTAAATAACACAGAAGCAAAAATACCTCTGCATGTGCAGTTCAGGTAGCTATGCAGATCTCATGGTAACCTTTGAATAGCTGAACTATTGTATAAAGAATGAAAGAGGACCTACCTTTCTTGTCAGAGTCTCTAAACTGCGATTCAACTTCATTTGGCGAATATTCAATTATCCTTTTGCCGTCTCCCGAAGTTGTAAAAACTTTAGTCCTTTTCAAAGCTTTGGTCATTATTTCGGTTTCCGTTGAATCACCTTCAAAAAAGCCACTTTCTTTGGTTTTCTTATGACAGCGCATTTTCCCTTTTCAAATGCGCACTTTCGACTTTGTAAACACAATTAAAATATGACTGACATTATTTCTAGTGCGTTTCTTCAGCAATATCACTTTAAGAATACGGGAAATTTAAATTGCGACTATTTTTCCAGTCGCGTTTCTAACAGTACTTGAAAAGTAGGTCGTTCAAGAATTATTTAAACCAGCTCCGTAACTTTTCACCATAAATGTTATCCGTTAAAATATTAAAACTCAGTCACTGTTAAAGTCCGTAATGTCCTTTTTTAACACTCTTAACTAGTTCTGGGATTAAATACACTTCTGCAAAGTTCAATTTAAAAAGTCAATGTCCAATGTTGATGATGATATAGGTTATGTTCCTTCAAACAGTATTTCTTTCAATATCACAACACTATTACAACAATATATACAGTTTTTCGCGTTTGTTATAGTCCTTAACACGATTGTAAGTTAGTTTTGAGCACTAAAACATAGGAAAAACTAAAATAAAAATGAACGACGGAGCGACTGCGACGGCAACAGCAGTTGGAAAACTGACCCAAAACAAATTCGGTTGACATCCATGTTCCTTGACAGCCCCACCACGTGTCTCGACCTTCCTGCGGCGTTGCCAGATCTTTGCTATTTTCTTTCAGCTATTGGTGTAAATATTTTTGATGCGGTACACATTTTACATGATAGCGTAATAATAGGGGAACAAAATTAATGAATAAAAATGAATCGTCTAGTTTAAAATACGATAAAAACTTTTTTTTGAAAAAGTTTGTGTTTGTTGAAACGTTCTATCAAAGGTTCTAGCATTTTTTAGTCTTTTTATTCTTTTAAGTGTTATTTTTGACAAGTTTTATGTAAATTTTTAGTAAATGACGTCTAGAGCTTGACCTCGCCAAAATTATTAGCGATTGTCATATCCCAGCCGCTTTTTTTCGATCATACTGCACTTACATTCTAAATAAAGTACTTTTTTATTTATATTATTATACCTACAAGGATTAAATTGATTCAAACTATTTTTAGATACTATTAAAAATTGCTTTGAAAACCTTGGAAAAAAAAGAGAAAAGTGATGCAAACTGCTTATAGTAGTTATTTCTAAAAATGCTTACAAATAAACATAATCCAAAATATATATATAGTTGATTTGGAGAAAGAATATTTATTTTTATGTCTGAGTCGCATCTGATATTTTAGGTTCAGAGTTTTTTAGAGTTCTTGTCAGTTTTTCCCAATCTGTCATAATCGTATTATTCTTTTGTCAGACTACAGTGTCTATGGTAATTTCTAATTGTAAATTAATAATAAGCAAAATAAAACACTAACTCATCACAATACACCAAAACACTTTACTTTTGCACTGGACGCTAACCATGTTAAGATCATTTTAACCATGTTAAGATGATTAAAACAATCAGTTTTAATCATATGCTGATGAGCTAGCATGGTTAGCAAAAGACGCGATCAGTGCAAAAGTAAAGTGTTTTGGTGTATTCTGGTGATATAAGTGTTTTATTTTGCAGGTTCCAACCTTCAATTACTGCAAATGTAAATATTAAAGCAAACTGTGCCTCTGTACAGAAATTAATCAAAACATAGTCATACTTATTTATTATTTTTTACATTATACACATTATTATTGCAAAATTATATTCAAAATCTCCCTTCAAAATTCTACAATCAAACTCAACAAAGCAAGAACGCTGTAGTAGAACATAAGGAATTCTACAAGTAGCATCTGGCAACATTGTTTGTTTTTATCCTACTTTTCCGAGTAATGTGATTAAGTGAAAAGTGGAAAATACGGCATCGGACATACCCGATTTTATGTTATTTTGAAATGTTATAAAAACATAGTGATCCTATAATTTTATTCCGAAAAAAAACAAAAATATGAAGTTTCTCTGAATTCAATAAAATAAATAGGTATTCCATAACAAGCATACCTACTTCTTCATTAAATTAACTAAATATAGGTATATCACCCTAATTAGATTATCACTTACCTAAATTGCATAATAATTAATTTAATTATTAAACATACAGAATTTTATTTATTAATTTAAATCGAAATAATTTAAATTTAGGTTATGCAACTAGATATACAGACCTGACGTTGGCTGCAGTTCACATTGTGTTCACATTATTTCTGAGAGATGGCGCCAGCAAGCGTCTTGGAAATATTAAAAATAATAAATAAAGGAGAAATCCTTTTATTTTTTTATGTTAATTATTCAATTTTCGTGTCTTTATGATGTTTGTTTTATTTAATTGATATATGATATGAATATACCCCGATAACTTCTTGTTCTTGCTATATTAAATGTGTTTTTAAGGCCATTAATGATCTATTTTTACTAGAATATGTTAATAGTAATAATTGATGATGTTACTTAATTATTATTAACAAAAGAAACCTTGTACGAGTAGGTAGGTATACGTTTATTTTGTGATTACACCTTTCGTTAAAGTAATACTTTTACATAGTAATTTTTTTGGCACTCCTAATTCAAACATTGAGTCTGTTTTTGCAATATTTTAAAAACCACAGCAAAGGAAGTATGTTTATTTATACTTTGAATATCTTATCTGCTTTTTCCAATGAGCACATAGTTACCGTTAAATTTTATAATATTATTTAAGAGATACTGCAGTAATAAATAATAATATTGGAATTCAATTTTATCT